GTCGCACGCTGCAGACGGGGTCGCCGCCGGGCGAGGCTGGGGCCAGGGCAGAGTTCTTTTGTCGACCAGAACGGAAGAGCTCGGACTCTTTGGGCTGTTGAGGCCTCATCAGTTGACCTTGTCAACTCATCTCTGGCATAAGATTTATGCCTAATTTTAGTAGATAACAGCTTTGCCCTTCCGGCCGGGCTCAATCGTCTCACCGTATCAGACTCCATTTCCTCATCCCTCTTAGTTACACTCTTCAGCCTTGTTCGGTTCTCAGCGATGGACACATCTTTATCCTTACCTTCATTGTCATCATCCTTTTCATCTTTTTCCTCAACTATTTCCTCCTTCATCTCGTCGTCGTCATTGTCAGCGCCTAATACTCCTCCACTGGTCCGTCGAAGAAGAGTAAACAGCCCAGCATCTTTAATGTCATCTACATCGCCGTCATCCTGTTCTGCCGGTAGATGGACGCCAGATTGAACGCTAGGCCCCATCATATTTCTAGGACACTCAAAGTCGCTTTGGAATAGCCGCCAGTCTTGATCGAGTAGGAAGATTTCTTCAGAGCTGATATCAGTGACGTATTGTAAGGCCTCTTGGCTTGAATCTACACGAAAGAATCTGCCTGCTGTTGTGGCTGTTAACTCAGTGCCATAGTTTTGTGGCGGCATGAAAAATGGAAAATGTCATCATACTGAGTGAATATTGCAAATCGCGCTATTGCAGACGCATTAACATTAGTATTGCTTACCAAAGTTAAAAAGTAAATAAAACAAGGAGAATAGTAACGGATTCAGAATTAAGCGTCTTACCTCGGGGAAGTAAGCATGGAAGTGTGAAATGTTACAGTGCAGCTAGAACATGGTAACCAACGAACGTAGCATTGGTGCGAAACACACTCAATCATGCGACTTAAGACCGGCTAAAAAGAAGCTAAAAAGTTGTCGGCACGAGTTAAGATTGGCAGACGAAATAGGAAAAGCGAATTCACTTACTGTTTAGAGTGCCAAAAAAAGAATGATTTCGGCGTGAGGTTACTAGGCTACAATGGCGTTTCAACCTTATTTCACCGGAAAGATACGTTTTTCACGTACTAATTACATTCTACCTGCAGGTGGGCAAAGAATAGGACTGCTGGGAGCAAGGTTTCTGGACCAATGCGAAAATGGATATAACCTCAAAATAATCAGGAGA